GCAGAGCGGGGGGAAAATACAGACGATTGTGACTGCGGTCGGCTGCGTTTTCGTTCCCGCCAGACCTCCGCCGAAACGTGAGCTTCCCGCGTGCGGGGATCTTCGCCGGTTGGGCCCAGTGCTTCACGGCTGTGCCGGCTTCTGCCGAGAGAAGAAGCCGAGAGAAGACAGAAGCCGAGGAAAGACATCGTCGAATCACATTATTCCATGTGATTAAACTGTCACTGGACGGAGGTAAAGGGACAAGATGGTCACGGCCCGAAAGATAGACACGTATGAATCTGATGAGCTCATCCTTTAGAATGGCCTCGCTTTGTCGATGGCCTGCCGTAGTGCTATTTTAATGGAGGCCGTCATTACCGACACGCATCACGTCCCCGTGTTCTGATCTTGCGCCATATGATGTGATGTCTGCACTAGTCAGAAAATAAAGAGACTCTAAAAGTTACAGCAACTTTTAAAGAGATTTAAAGAAATAGGAGACATCCAGACAATAGGTAATAAATGGAGCATTTCAGATGACACGTTAAAAATAAATGAGGTTAGGAACGAGGATACGTCCGGACGGCGCTCTGCTCTTCGGATGAAAGTTAACTGTTTAGTCACGTCAGATCGGGATGGCCATTAGGTAGAAGAGATTATAGTGATCTTTGATCAATTGTGCTGGGGTTTTTTTTTTTTTTTCCTTTTCTTCTTAGATGGCGAATCGCAGTTCATCTAAGGAGGTGAGCTCGGTCTCACTTCTGACATTAGCAGGTGACCTCCCGCCTTTGCGGCGGTACGTGAAGTGGCCAGGCCAGATGCCAGGTGAGCTTGCTTCTGACTCTGGCTTGTCCAGAGATTCAATGCCAGAGTCATGTCTGTGGACCGTTGTAATGGATGGAAATTATCAGTTGGGCCTACAGAACGGGACCGATGCTCTCTCAAAGCATGTCATGCCCATCATAAAGTCAAGATCACACAGCTAGCCGCTTTGTAGCACAATTGCCAGAAGGGGCCAACTGCAAAGAACCATCTGCAGTTTTCCTTTCGTTTCCGATACCGGTCTCTTCTGTCACCGTGTCGGAAACGAAAGGGAGAGGAACGACTTTGACGATAGGCTTTTGCATCACGACTCACCGTACGGCTTCCTGCCCGCTCAATCCTCTGTTTTTCTTCAAGAAGCAATTACGGTCATGGCCCTAGTCTTAGTCATGATGCCTTCAAGAGTTGCCATTGCTGCCCATTTATTTCATAGTATCCCACTAATTTACAGTCTCGATATCCAAAGCCACGGACGTGTTTGCTTTCTGTTTTTGTTTTTATAGTTTTCACTAGCTGCGCTCATTTCCCTGGGAAGCTTCACGTCAGCGTTGGCGAAGCTCGGAAGAG